TGACATTGAAGCTGTCGTGTTCTCGAAGCTACTTAATTAGAAACACATTCATTTGAGTGTATACTGGAGAAGGCTGGAACAGCACAGTTAGGCACACAGGGAAGTTGAGCATTTGTGCAGCTTGCAGCTAAACTGATGGTTTACACTTTGAGTATAAAATTGTTGGGTATTTCCTTGCCCCTGGTATGCGGTCATTAGAAAAGAAGCAGTACGTGTGAAGGAAATGTCTATTTCCTGCAATTAAAACATGCAAAATGACAAACAAATACTCTCCAATTTGACGTTTCCTATGTAAGCCTTGAACTTTAATGTGTACACTTGTAATATGGCAAAAGCTGCAACATACAAGAGTGGTTTCAAACACTACTGCTAACTTGTAGACCTCCCAGTGAAGCATGAACCCCAGAATTTTCATTGAGTGAGCTTCTGAGGTAGTAATCTCTCTGGTAAGTGGGAACTCACTTTAAGATACTGCATTGCGGCACAATGGGAAAAAACAGGAGTGTTCTTACTGCGGTCTCCAAAATTAATTGATGTGCAATATGCTACCTCATCACTTTAATGAGACCTAGAAGTTTTGTTGTAGGATACTGAAAATTCATATATAATGTCTCTTTAAAAGGTAATCAAAAATGTTGGTTGAGTACTGTCCAGGGCAGGGGCTGCCTCTCTATCCGTGTTACTATGGCACCCAGCACAATAGGGCAGCAATCCTGATGTGGCCTTTTGGTGCTAAACTATATGACAGATTGAGAAGATCAATATACAAATTAGTCAAACTATTTGTATAGTGGTGAGACAAAGCAGTAATGCATAGGATTTTAATAGCATCTTCAATTAATGCTTCCAACACTACATTTTTATGAGCTTCTGTCTACGCTTCATAAGAAGGCCCTATAGTGGTTATTTTAAACCAAGTCACTACAATTCCTTTCACTTTTATTTAAGATTAAAGGTGAACTAAACTTTTTAGTGAATCTACAAGAATTTAATATCCAAAATCAAATTAGTAGCATTTTACCCTCTTTTGGTGATAAAATAAGATGTTGTGCCTATGTTGTTGTAGCCATGTTGGTCCCAGGATATAAGACAGACAAGATGGAGGAGGTAATAGATCTATTATTGGACCAACTTCTGTTGGAGAAAAACATAAACTTTTGAGCTACATAGAGCTCTTCTTCAGGTCTGGGAAAGGTACTTGGAGTGTCACAGCTAAATACAAGGTGGAACAGATTGTTTAGCATAAGTAATTAACACACATTTTAAGGGATGATTCAAGGTGAAGTGGCCCGTGAGCACCTCTGCAGCCGAGGACAATAAAAGGGAGGGAGGGGTTAGTGGGTTACGGATTGTTGTAATAAGCCATAAATTCAGTGTCTTTATTAAGAGCATGATTTTTAGTGTCTAGCAAAGTTATGTATTTAAGCTTTCAGGCTTGTCTTTTGAAGGTGATGTGCAGGTTTCCTTTGAAGACAAGGACTGAGAGGTCAGATACGGAGTGATTGTTTTGTGAGATGTGTTCGCCCAGATATGGTGTTTGTCTTTTATATTTTTCTGTGTGAGTTCATTCAAGAGCACAGTGATTGTCTGGTTGCACCCACATGGTTGTTCTTGGGGCATTTAGCCCTGGATGAAGTACATTACATATTGTGATAGGCTTGTGTAGGACCCCTGGATCTTGAAAGGTGTGTTGTGAGGGGTATTGATCATTGTAGCAGTGGAGCTATATCTGTAGGTTTTGCATCTGTTATGGCAAGGAAGTGACATCTATTTTCTGAGCAAATGCAAGAAGCAAAACTGTATCTCTCTGACCACTATATATGACTCCAAATGTACTCCAATATGTACTCTCTACAGAAGGGTTTCAGAAAAACTGAGGAACAATTTCCTGCACCTCACATGCTCCAGAAGGGACCACCTCATACAAGAAATCATCATACACCCACACCCTGGAAAGAAAAAATCAGGAAACCTACCTGGAGATCATGCAACAAACCCAAAACAACTATCCAAAAAACCTGATGACAGCCATCCAACACAAATACAAAAAGGGGAATAAACTACAACTCCTCCTCAATCCACAGAACTTCTCCTCTAGGATAAACCATGGCACCAGGACCCACTACATGGACCCCAACACCATCAATTTATCAAGAGTACCCCTAACTGGAGCTGAATTATCCATATTCTCCAACGGACTGAGCTTCTGCCCCATCGCAGAACCTGATACCATACTAACATGTGGAGAACTAGAAGAATTCTTTCACCAACTCCATCTCAAAGAATTATTTCACAACCATGACTTCGCCACCCACAACTACCAGGTCCCCACCAACAGTCATCAGAAAAAAGCATGCCCTGACTGGACACCCCACAGTGGATGATACCACACACTTAAGAATTACATTGATTGCTTCAGGAAAAAAATTGACTGAAATCCTTAACAAACATCACATCCACCACCGTCTCTCCACTGCCAAGAGCACAGCTGTACAGTCCCTGAAATCCAAGCACCAAATAGTGACCAAACCATCAGACAGAGCAGTGGTGGGTGGCACCATCGTTGTTCTCAACCACAATGACTGCGTCAACGAGGCGAACTGACAACTCTCTGACTCCACCTGCTATAAAGAACTCAGAGACGACTCCACAGCCCAGTTCACCCAGGAATGTAAGGATATCTTCTAATCCTTCCCCAAACAACTCTAAGAGAAATTCTACAACTTCATCCCCCATGAACCCATCCCAGGAATCTTCTACATGCTTCCCAAGATACACAAATAAGGGAACCCAGGCAGACCCACCATTTCTGGCCATGGCTCTCTAATTGAAGGAATATCAGGACTCATAATAGAAACCATCCTCAAACCAATCACCACACTAGAGTCAGCTTCCTCCAAGACATAACTGACTTCCTCCAAAAATGCTGCAATATTAACAGTCTTTCTAAGAATACTGTCCTTGTCACCATAAATGTCACCTCCCTATACACCAATATCCCTCACAATGACAGCATCACTGCCTGCCTCAAATATTTACAAGACAACAGACAAAACTCAGATATCCACCCCAAAAAAGTGTACAGTCAACAACAAACACTTTGTGGAAACGATGGGAACAGCACTGGGTACTAGGATGGCTCCACAATATGCCAACCTCTTCATGGGCCACCTGGAGAAAAAATTCTGGACAAATGCACCATAAAACCAATGATATACCTGAGATACATCAATGATATTTTCATCCTCTGGACAGATGACCTAAACTGCCTCATAGATTTCCACCACAACTTTAACAACTATCACTTATCCATCAAACTGTCTCTAAAACACTCCCACACCAGCATCAACATCCTGGACACCAGGATCAGCTTCAACAATGGAACTCTACAGACAACTATAGACAAGAAACCCAGGATCACCACACTTCACAGGTCCAGTAACCACCCAAACACACCAAGAAAGCTGTTATTTACAGCCAGGCCCTCAGATACCACAGAATATACTCCTAGAAGAAAGTCTGGGTTACGCACCTCAATACACTTAAAACTGCCTTTACCAAACAAGGACATTCCACCAGAGACGTACATCACATCATGGAATGAGCCACCCAAATACCCCGACAGAACCTGCTTCAATACAGAAAAAAACCACTCTCACTGCACCCCCAACTTAGTTGCCACTTCCACCCTCCACTGGCAACTGTACAGCATATCATTAAACAATTATAACCCATACTCAATGGGGACTACATCCCAAATGAAATCTTTCCTGAATCTCCTATTCTGGCCTTCAAACAAGCCCCCAACCTCACCAGGCTCATCATCAGAAGCAAGCTCCCCACAAACCAGGACGCACCAACTCAAAGTGGCACCAGACCCTGCCATCATAACAGATGCAAAATCTGCAGACATATCTCCATTGGTACAGTGATCAGCACCCCTCCACAACACACCTTTCGAGATCCATGGATCTTACACATGACTATTAGAGCGTGTGGTGTACCTCATCCAGTGCACTAAATGCCCCAACAACTACTTTGTGGGTGAAACCAGACAATTACAATGCTCTTGAATGAATTTATTCAGAAAATTGGTTTAAAAAGGCACTAAGTTCGTTATACCAATGGATGCTTAGGGCAAAATTCTGCACTTAGATATAGGTGTGTAACTCTCATCAGGCATACAGAATGTTAGCTCTTCGATGCATGAGCTAATTTACTCCATCTTTTGTACTGTGCTGAGCACATTTGTCAGCACTCAACAAACAGGCTGTTATAGGTCCATCAATGGCTATTAGCCAGGATGGGCAGGGATGGTGTCTCTAGCCGCTGTTTGCCAGAAGCTGGGAATGGGCAACAGGGGAGGATCACTTGGTGATTACCTGTTCTGTTCATTCTCTCTGGGGCATCTGGCATTGGCCACTATCGGAAGACCGGATACTGGGCTAGATGGACTGTTTTCTATAATATGGGAGTCTGTATCAGGATCTGTTGAATTCAGCAATAAATAAATATTAAAATGCTCTCTTCTTGGCATGCATTGGCCAAAGGATCAAGAGCTTGTCCTAACTATTGGGTGATGTATATAAGTAATTTAACCACAATGTTTCATATGGGCAAACCTCTTTAAATGACATTATTTGAAGAAGTGGAACCACAGATGTCCATGGTGTCATTCTGGATGTATTCATAATAAAATAATAATATGTTTGGTAGCTTCCCTCCTTTAACTGCTATTTTTTAGTAATGACAACTTCACCTTGCAAGCTGCAGTGGAAAATTATTAAATTAGAGACAGTGGCTTTCAAATTAAGAGATAAGACTTCAAAATAAAACTGACATTTTTCGGCTCAAATGGAATGTTGCATCTGGATTTCTATTTTTAAATAAAATTTAATCCTGTATCCCTGTTATCTATATTACAGCTGGCTTTTTTAAGTTTGTGTTTACAATCTCCAGCATTATCTGAATATAAATAAGCTGTTTGTTTCTCTTCACAGTGCCCCGATGCCCTACCTCATTGGAATACATTTAAGTTTAATGGAGGTAAGTCTCTCCCCTCGTCCCTCAGAGTAGTATGTATTTCTGTGCTTTAGGCCCTACTGCTGCAAACACATGCTTCAACATCTTTATTAATGATCTGGATGATGGGATGAATTGCACCCTGAGCAAGTTCGCAGATGACACTAAGCTGGGGGGGAGAGGTAGATACGCTGGAGGGTAAGGATAGGGTCCAGAGTGACCTAGACAAATTGGAGAATTGGGCCAAAAGAAATCTGATGAGGTTCAACAAGGACAAGGGCAGAGTCCTGCACTTAGGAAGGAAGAATCCCATGCACCGCTACAGGCTGGGGACCAACTGGCTAAGCAGCAGTTCTGCAGAAAAGAACCTGGGGATTACAGTGGACGAAATATGAATCAGCCATGTGCCCTTGTTGCCAAGAAGGCCAACGGCATATTGGGGCAGGTCTTCACTACGGGGGGGGGGGGGGGGGTTTAAAAACGCCAAATCAGCTACGCCAATAGCGGAGCTGAATTCAACGTATCAGAGCCGACTTACCCCGCTGTGAGGACGGCGGCAAAATCGACCTCCGCGGCTCCCCGTCGATGGCGCTTACTCCCACCTCTGCTGGTGGAGTAAGAGCGTCGATTCGGGGATCGATTGTCGCGTCCCGACGAGACGCGATAATTTGATCCCCGAGAGATCGATTTCTACCCGCCGATTCAGGCGGGTACTGTAGACCTAGCCTTGGGCTGTATTAGTAGGAGCATTGTCAGCAGATCAAGGGAAGTGATTATTCCCCCTCTATTCGGCACTGATGAGGCCACACCTGGAGTATTGTGTCCAGTTTTGGTCCCCCCACTACAGAAGGGATGTGGACAAATTGGAGAGAGTCCAGCAGAGGGCAACGGAAATTATTAGGGGGCTGGGGCACATGACTTATGAGGAGAGGTTGAGGGAACTGGGGTTATTTAGTCTGCAGAAGAGAAGAGTGAGGGGGGATTTGATAGCAGCCTTCAACTACCTGAAGGGGGGTTCCAAAGAGGATGGAGCTCGGCTGTTCTCAGTGGTGGCAGATGACAGAACAAGAAGCAATGGTCTCAAGTTGCAGTGGGGGAGGTCTAGGTTGGATATTAGGAAACACTATTTCACTAGGCGGGCGGTGAAGCACGGGAATGGGTTTCCTAGGGAGCTGGTGGAATCTCCATCCTTAAGAGGTTGTTAAGGCCCGGCTTGACAAATCCCTGGCTGGGATGATTTAGTTGGTGTTGGTCCTGCTTTGTGCAGGGGATTGGACTAGATGACCTCCTGAGATCTCTTCCATCCCTAATATTCTATGATTCTATGCTTAACTTTAAGCACGTGATTGAAACTAAACATGTGCCTAAATGTTTGCATCACGGGAGCCTAATTTGGTTGCTTGCACAATTCTGGCAAACTCATGAATACACTTCGGATACTATTTTCAACCCAGTGATCAGAGTCCAGCACATCTGTGTATGTGAGAGACACACAAGACAGACAGGCAGACATGGTGTGAACCCTGTTGTTTCATTTGACCAATTTACTACGATTGAATTTAACTCTATCAGAGTGGATCAGGCTTGATTTTTTTTTTTAACAACACTATTGACCATCTCTACTTTGCCATTTTTAGGCTTTTATAGATTTGGTGATCATTAGTTTCTAATGCTCAAGATGATAGGTCCAGGAGCAGGGATCTTATCATCAATAAGAAAAACCTGGCCTTCTTGCAGGATGTAGGAACATGTAAAACAACTGGAAATAATCCCCAAGCACCATGGACTGTAATTTTCAAAAGAACCCGTGGAAGCAAATCACCCAACTCCCACTTTTTTCAATATGGGGTGCAGAACCTAGGGCTCCTTTGAAAATCCTAACCGTAGGGTAATATTTTCAAAAGTGCCTAAATGTCACTTAAATGGTTTTAGAGAGATAAGGTGGATGGAAGTAATGTCTTTTATTGAACAGAAGTTGGTGGAATAATAGATATTACTTTATCCATCTTGTCTCTGTAATATCCTGGGACCAACGCAGTTACAACTACACTGCATACTTAGATTGTTTTGAATATTTGTCCTTAGTCATTAGTACCGATTAACAGGGCCAGTCTGAAAGCCATATGCAGTGGGAGTAGGGAAATATTGCTGCTTGGAAATCAGGGGAAGCTAACTACAGGTTAGCATTTTCAAGTTGGTAGCAGCGGCTGATGCTCAACATCTTTGACAATCAGACCACTTAGGTACTTAACTTTAAACACCACAGTTGAAAATTTGAGCTATTCTATGTACGATATCTTACAACATACAATCACTTAGTCATGCACCTCATAAAATAATGTGTAATACAAGAACATTTGGAACCTACATCAAAAACTGGTAACTTTGCCGTACAGACATCTGTCTCTTTTGGGTATATGTCAGCAATAATCATCCAGGGTACTGCCCTGCTAAGAGGCTAAACCCCCAGACTATGCCATTATATACATTGTTCCAGTCATATTGTGCAAAAAAAGCTTCTGGGCAATTTTTCTGTGTTGCATTAAGCAGAAATAATGAGACAAATAGCATGACAAATGCTACATTTTAACAATGTTTAATGTTCAAGCTGTTTGCTTGAAAGTAGCAAACTGTTATCTGGGCTCTGAACTCAGTCTCCCCAATTGATAAACAACTTGAAATAAGAACGGCCATACTGGGTGAGACCAAAGGTCCATCTAGCCCAGTATCCTGTCTTTCGACAGTGGCCAGTGCCAGGTGCCCCAGAGGGAATGAACAGAACAGGGATTCATCAAGTGATCCATCCACTTTCGCTCATTCCCGGATTCTGACAAACAGAGGCTAGGGACACTATCCCGGCAAATAGCCATTGATGGATCTATCTTCCATGAATTTATCTAGTTTTTTTTTTAAACCCTATTATAGTCTTGGCCTTCACAACATCCTCTAGCAAGAAGTTCCACAGGTTGACTGCGCATTGTGTGAAAAAATACTTCCTTTTGTTTGTTTTAAACCTGCTGCCTATTAATTTCATTTGGTGGCCCCTAGTTCTTGTGCTATGAGAAGGAGTAAATAACTCTTCCTTATTTAATTTCTCCACACCAGTCATGATTTTATAGACCTCTATCATATCGCCCCCAGTCATCTCTTTTCCAAGCTGAAAAGTCCCAGTCTTATTAATCTCTCCTCATATGGCAGCTGTTCCGTACCCCTAATCTTTTTATTGCCCTTTTCTGAACCTTTTCCAAGTCCAATATATCTTTTTTGAGATGGGGTGACCACATCTACACACAGTATTCAAGTTGTGGGCATACCATGGATTTATATAGAGGCAATATGATATTTTGTGTCTTATTATCTATCCCTTCCCTAATGATTCCCAACACGCTGTTTGCATTTTTGACTGCCACTGCACATCGAGTGGATGTTTTCAGAGAACTATCCACAAATCACTCCAAGATCTCTTTCTTGAGTGGTAACAGCTAATTTAGACTCCATTATTTTATTTATATATATATAGTTGGGATTATGTTTTCCAATGTGCATTACTTTGCATTTATCAACATTGAATTTCATCTGTCATTTTGTTGCCCAGTCACCCAGTTTTGAGAGATCCTTTTGTAGCTCTTCGCAGTCTGCCTAGGACTTAACTATCTTGAGTAGTTTTTGTATCATCTGCAAATTTTGCCACCTCGCTGTTTACCCCTTTTTTCCAGATCATTTATGAATATGTGAAATAGGACTGGGACCAGTACAGACCCCTGGGGGACACCACTATTTACCTCTCTCCATTCTGAAAACTGACCACTTATTCCTACCCTTTGTTTCCTATCTTTTAACCAGTTACCAATCCATGAGAGCACCTTCCCTCTTATCCCATGACAGCTTACTTTGCTTAAGAGCCTTTGGTGAGGGACTTTGTCAAAGGCTTTCTGAAAATCTAAATACACTAACTATATCCACTGGATCCACCTTGTCCACATGCTTGTTGACCCCCTCAAAGAATTCTAGTAGATTAGTGAGGCATAATTTCCCTTTACAAAAACCATGTTGACTGTTCCCCAACAAATTACGTTCATCTATGTGTCTGACAATTTTGTTCTTTACTATAGTTTCAACCGGTTTGCCCGGTACTGAACTCAGGCTTACCGGCCTGTAGTTGCCGGGGTCTCCTCTGGAGCCCTTTTTAAAAATTGGCTTCACATTAGCTACCCTCCAGTCATTTGGTACAGAATCTGATTTAAATGATAGGTTACAGACAACAGTTAGCAGTCCTGCAGTTTCACATTTGAGTTCCTTCAAAACTCTTGGGTGAATACCATCCAAATTGAGAATCTAAACCAGTGAGTTTGGTCACTGGTTTACTAGGGGACTGTTTTTATTTTGTTTTGTGTCTTTACAGTGGTAAGATGCAGTACTGTACCTTTTTAAATGGAAAATATTTAAGCTCTGTAGGGATATTTGTACTGTATTCTGCTGTTTTTGACTACCAGTTGGTTAGATATTATTAACACACTATGCAGCACTATTAAGGGGATGATTATGTTGTTCTTAGTTTGGCCTGTGCCACTATCCAGTGTGGTGTAAAACTATACACAACAGTACATTCATGATTTTAATAGATATTAAACTTAATATGCTTGAAATATAGTTTGGGGGACTTAATTCTAAACCCCACAAGTACAAATAATACATGAATTATTGTGTTAAAACCTATTTTTAGATAAGATCTGCACTTCAACTCTTGTCCCATATGTAATCACTCTTGGGATATGGGAACTTACATCAAACTGAGTGTGGTGAGCCCTTTCCTACAGGAGGTTAACAAGTTTGTATCCTGCACAGTAGGCGAGCAGGAATTGGCAATGAGCCAGCATGGTCTGGTGGACTGAGTATGTGGCTGGAAACCAAGAACTCAGGAGTTCAGATCCTAGCTCATTAAGCAAGTCACTTCATCTCTATGTCTTACTTTTCCCATCTTTAAGATGGGGATAATAAATTTGTGTTGTGAAGTTAATATGTGC